AGGCGGCGGTTGTGGCCCCGCGTCGCTTCCCGCCCTCATGGAGGACGAGGACTGTCCCGAGCTCATCCCCATAGGGCCCGGCGGCGCCAAGATCCCGGTGACCATCATCACGGGCTACCTGGGTGAGCGAGGAGCTGGTGGCGGCGTCTGGCCTGACGCGGCTTTGTAATTCGGTCACTGAATTACATTTTAAAGAGAAAAGTTATATATATATATATATATAAATACACTTATATGTTTATGTATATGCATATATATGTGTGTACGTATATATATACACACACGTATAGGCTATGTGGCAGGTAAGGAAATCGGTAACTTTCTATACACTGTCACTTGAGGAGTGGAGGTTTGGCTCTTTTAAAGGTTAGCTTTAATGTGCTAACAGGTCAGTGAATTTCCTTCCAAATATCTCTGCAAATTTCCCGGTTTTTATGAGGTTGCAGTAGAATGCAGGAGAACTTAAATATGTAAAAGTTAAAACTTGTGTTTTCCCAAGGGAGAAGATTTGTCCAGAGCATGTGTGTCTGTAAAATCTTTCATTTTAAAATTATTTCTTCTCTTTGATTTATGCTTTAATAGAAATATGGTCTGTTTTTTAGGTGCTGGGAAAACAACTCTTCTAAATTACATATTGACAGAGCAACATAGTAAAAGAATAGCAGTTATATTAAACGAGTTTGGTGAAGGTATGTAAACCTGCAGAACTATGTGGTTTTAAATCCATTAGGCTTGTAATGATCATACCATGTACCCTTCAGAAAAACAAAATGTCTACTAGCTGGTGTTCAAAAAACATTACACATTAATCTGTTCTGTCTTGTGCATAAACTCTGTCAGAATCAAGTAAATGAGCATCTGCTCCATGAGCTGCTGAAGTGCTGTACCTGCATGTAACCTACTTAGTTTCAAGCAGACAAGAATAAAAATCATAGTAGAGGAGCTTTTTTTTTCTTGTGCTTTTCTCTGCTTTGTCCTTCCCTGTCTTCCTTCCTTGATTACTTACATATCCCAGTTCCTTCCCTATGCAAGATTGTTAGCTGTCGGGACTGTGATTTCATATCACTGCCACGGTAATTGCCATTTAAAATTTGCACTGTGTTTTGACTTAGAACTTTGCAAAAAGCGTGGTACTTTTCTGGTCATGGAACTTGAAATAAAATGTCTACAAAAAGCTTTAATTTGATATGGAGACAAAGTTGGGTCAGTTATGCTGACTTTTCATCCTTTGGGTTTTGTTCTTTGTGGAATAAACACAGCTTTTCTAAATGTTCCATAAAATGAGAAACAGTAATTTTGGAAGAACATTTGAGAATTGTGGTTTCAGAATATACGCTGTAATTCTAGAACAAAAATGCATACTTGCTTGAATCTTTGATGTCTCTCTTTAAAGCATTCTCGCACACGTTTGTAGATCAAAATTACAGTACTCTTCATATTTCCAGGAAGTGCTGTGGAGAAATCACTGGCAATCAGTCAAGGTGGAGAACTCTATGAAGAGTGGCTGGAGCTCAGAAATGGCTGCCTGTGCTGTTCAGTAAAGTAAGGCAGGAATATTATGTAAAGTTGTTGCAATGAGTTTGGGGGGAAATGGCAAGAGAAGGGCATCCAGTGCTTGCAACTTAAAACTGTGTTCATTCAATTTTGAATGTGGCTTCTTTTGTCAGATAAAGTAAGAATTGGAATTTGAGAGATTGAAATTCATGTCTTTTTGCTGCCTTACTGGATTTGGACTTAACATCTGCCAGAAAAAATGGTCCAAATATTAATCTAAACACCAACGGGATATTTTGGGGTAAAGAGTGCTACTATTTCTCCTAATATTATTCCCCTTTATTTGCAGAGTTGTTCAGGGAAATTGGAACTAGGACTAAAGTGACCTAATTGTGGCACTAAATATTTCTTCTGTATTTCTTACTGTGTTTTGGTTAATGCCAAAGTATTAGCCAGGAGTATTTTATACTCCAGAAGGGGCAGAGACTGAGCCTCTGATGAAAGGACCAGTGAAACATGGTATTCCAAATTATAAATTAAAGACCATGCTGAAATGTAACAGGGTATCTGTGTCATGCTGTTTTCTGCGTTTGGAGATTGAACTGTTTGTGGCTACCTTTTAAGAAAGGTTTGTTTGCTCTGAGAACTGGACAGAAATGGCCCTGCGCCCTTACTGTTGGGATAGTAAGGGCAAGACGGAAGATCGTTTTGCATTGGCCTACACTGGAATGTAACAAATTCTGCCACTACTGCTATGGATTTCTTTTGTGAAGTGTAGTAAACTTTTGCTTCAGGTTCATCTACTGAGATTTGAGTAAATAACACATGTTATTTTGCTGGCAGGGGGCAGGAGGGAGGGGGAAAGAATTCACATATGTGGCTTAGTGTCCTGTGTTTCTTCCCTTCCCCCCATTTCTTTCAATCTTAGCTGCCAAATCAAAAAGTCAGTTAATCATACAGGTCTGCTTTACAGGTTTATTAAGTGTCTGGAGACTAGACAAACACTGTTTTCAGACAAAAATAAAACAGAGAAATTAGAGCTTTGTAGTACTAGAGTAGCAACTTAATGACTGGACTTTTAATGTGGTCTATGAATCCTGATTCAGATATTTGCTTTGATGCCATTCATAACTGTTTTATCTTCTCTTCTGTGATTTCAGGTTTTTTCTTTTCTTCTTACAGGGACAATGGTGTGAAGGCCATTGAGAATCTGATGCAAAAGAAAGGAAAATTTGACTACATATTGTTAGAAACAACCGGACTGGCAGATCCAGGTAGTCAGCATTACACATGTTTTTCATAGCCATAATAATTATACCCTTTTTATGAAAGACTTATTTGGTCTCCAGTCAGTTCCTTTTATATGACGTGTAATGAAGTGGTGGGCGTGTGCACTTTTTATATACAGCTGTACAGACTGAAACTGCATTAATTAAGAAAACTGGTGAACTGACAAGCTTTTTTTGTAGAATGAAGACAACCCTGAACCATAACAAAAATTTAGTTAAAATATATTTCTTTCAAAAAAATAGTTTGTAAGCCTAGCTGAGAGGTCTTTCAAAGAAGATAGTGGACACGTAGAACCGAAGGGAAACGTACTCCAAAACTGATAGCTTTGCAGAGATTCCTTTGGTTTGTTTGCTGCTTGAAACAATGAATTCATAGCACCTAACATGGTGTTATATTGGTTGTTCCACATCTTATATTTTGTGAAAGCATTAAATATGCTGCCTAAAATATGACTATATTGCTCTGGTGTACTGGAGGAGCTTAGTATTTTTTTTTTTTTGTAGTAGTAGATTCTGCTAGTTTTTCTTTCATAGGCATATTTATTATAGAAAGGCATATAAGTACAAGTTCACATTAGTAGTAACTATCTAAATTGGTCTTTTTGATATCAGTTAAAAATCTGTTGTTGATCAAGAAAGTGAGGGAAATTCTTTACTGGTAATTCAGTTGTTTCCCATTTGAGGAGACTGACACTTTCCAACTCAAAGCTAAATAACTGTCATGGTGAAGTAATTTTCTTTAAAAGCAAAGACATTGATTTGGCCTGTGTTACACACACATCCTATTTCAGTGAAATTGAAAAACTATTAAGCTTTTTGAGGAAGAATCAATTGATACCAGAAAATCATTAGATCTTGTGGGCCCTTGCTATATCTTCATGAATAAGCACTGACATATTTTAATGTTGATGCACAGTGGTGCCTGGAGGACTGATATACAACTTCAGACATTAGAATTAATTCAGTTACTGTTTTTCCTATGTGCTTGATTCTTCTAGATAGTCCTGTCAGCAAATAAGAATGAGACATTTTGAAGAAAAATGTCTGTCTATTCGTAGCTCTCCTCTGCTTCATACTATGGCAATGATGCATGTTGAATCAGTTCCTTTAAAAATAAATTTTATATGTATATGTGTATGTATAAAAGGATTGTGTAGCACACTTCCTATAGTTGCTAGGAACCATTTTACAAAGCCTTTTTAGTAGAAAGAGTAGTAACATATTCTCAATTTTTTCTAAAAAAGAACAAAACTTACTTATTACACGTGAAGCAGTTTTTTTACATTTCCGTTGTCAGTTTTCAGTTCCAGAATGTCTGTTAGGTGCAAAGCATTATTTGTCATACTTCTGCATCGGAACTGCCTTACTTAAATGAAATGTAAGCATGTTTGTGCATAAGAGCAAAGTATTTATATTCATGTATCTTTTTCCTATATACTCTCATTCAGGGGTTTCCAAGTCATTGCTAGACTATGGTTCCAGTTATCTAAATATCTGTAGATTACTTTCCCCAGGATTAACCAAAGTGCCTGTGTCGGTGTGTTCCATTTTACATTCTGCAGAGATTTGAGTGGCTGTATGGAGGGTAATATGCATTTCATCGTTCCATAAACTTCTGCCTTTGAACAGAAACGCAGCAGTTAGAGACCTAGCATGTGAAAATAATAAAATCATGCAATGGTTCAGGTGGAAAGGGGCCATGGAAGTTCTCTAGTTCAACCCTCAAGCCCAAAGCTGTGAGACAGTCATCTATGAGATCAGACCAAGTTGCTTAGGGCTTTATCCAGTCGGATCATGAAAGCCTGCAAGCATGACACAACCTGTGAAGGCAACCTGTCTTTGCATAATGGAAAAAAAACATCACCTGCACCTCTTATTTCAACTTACAGCCATTGCCTCCATCCTCCCACCACTACACACCCTGTGTGAAAGCCTCACTCCAACTTCTTGATAATCTTCCCGTGGTGCTTAATTCTGCTGTTAGGTGCTCTTGAAGCTACCTGAGCAAAGCCAGTTTCACCCATCTGTCTTCGCAGGCCTTGTGCTCCAGCCTGTGATCTCTTTGGTGGCTGTTTGTTGAATTTGCTTCAGCTTATTGGCAATTTTCCTGTAGAGGGAGACCCCAAACTGGATACACTGAGTTCTCAGTCAAGCAGGATACCTCCTCTACTTGGTGCTCTGCTCCTGCTTACGTGGCTGGATGTGCTGTTGAACCTCACTGCCCAGCAGGCACACAGTAGGCTCAGGCTCATCTCTTTGCCCACCAGCCTGTCCTAGCAGAGCTCAGTCTGTCCATCTGTGGCCTATATTGTTGCTAGGGACTCTTCTTTCCAAGAGACACAACATGGCATTTGTACTGGATGAATTTGATCAGGTTCGTGTGAGGCGGTTCCTCCCACCTGTCCGGGTCCCTCTGAATAACAGCCCTGCCCGCGGGAATATCGACTAATTTCCTTTCTCCTCATCTGCAAAACTGATGAGAGTTTTCCGACATCCCTTCTTTGGATGTCTAATAAAGATGTTGAGTGGGACAGATTCCAAAGATCCCTATCTATCACCCAGTTTTTACCAGCCTTTGTTTAAGGAATGACCCATTAACCATGAACATTAGATCCTGATTATCCAAAAAGTTTTTTTGCCTAATTGTTCTGGTCTTCCATTCAGACTGTAACACCCCAACTTGGGCACAAGAATATTGTGGAAGATGGTTTTGAAAGCCTTCCTAGAGTGAGATGTATGACATCTACTGCTCTCCCCTTATCCACAGTCATCTTTTCGGGGAGATAGGTGTGATTTTATCCTTACTAAATCCATGCTGATTGTTCATACCGTTTTTCATGTGCATCCCGAGAGAACTCACTTTCTGTTATTCTCAAAGGGAGGCTCACTGGTCTTTAGTTGTGCAGATTTTGAGGCTGATGTTTTCTGAAACTTGGTGCAATATACGCGTTTCCCCAGTCTCTGGAGAGCTCTCCTAATCTTCGCAAGATTTCAAAGATAATAGGGTTACTTTGCAAGAGCATTAACAAGCTCTCTCATCTCTCTCGTATGCTGCTTTCTGTTTTTTGAAGGTTTTTCTGAAGTTCTCTCTTATTCAGTCAACATCCAGAACTTGTGATTCATTTCTGTATTGTTATGAGTTCATCTTATAATCATAGAAAACAATTGTAAGAAGAGAGGATAGTTATCCAAGTCTCAGTTTGCAAGGGGATTTCCGCTTATATCTTAAAGTATGATACATATTTTTGTTTGAACAATATGGTGTGCTTATTTCGTTGATAAATATTTAAGAAGTCAGGAAATGTATGTTTACACTGACTGGACAAAATATGCGATACCCCTTTGTACCCATAACTTTTTGGAAAAATAGTTATTGTAAAGTTAAATTTCATAAGGAATAACATTAATATTTTTAAAAAGTTGTAGTTTTTGTTGGAAATAAGGTTAATAGTGTGGTGAAAATAGTGTCCAGTTGTCTCCATTTTCCCCTCCTCTGTGAATATTTAAAAGGGTTATGTATGAGAGGGAACTGCACCAATAAGCTTCTCATAATATGTTGCTCAGGAGGTTACATATGATTAGTTGTTGTAGATTTTTTTTCGCTGGTATAATAACAATTTGTAGGATCAACCCTCTGTAAAGTTTTTGTATGAGGTGAATGAGCGATGGAGGAGAGTAAAGCAGAGGATATTCAGTTACATAGAAAGTACTATGCAACTGAAGCATAAATCTCTTTGAGAATTGAAGGAATTCTGAGAGAGGTATAGAAATGACAGGTACTTGAAATCACTGAGATAAGGTATATTACACAACTTACTTGCATTAGGAGATTTTCTAAAATTTGTGTGTTTTTTTTTAAAGCTTTGTTTTGGCAGCCATTGTTAGACTGAATGTGTGATTGAGTGTTTGATATTAATGATGCTTTTCTTTTTCATCCAGAAGTTCAGAAGAGAAATAGCTTAAAATATAGCACTGCAAATAGCTTTTCTATAAATATCTCACTATTGATAATTTCATAGAAAATGCAACTGAATGTGCTGCACTTCCCTAGGAGCTGTGGCCTCCATGTTCTGGGTGGATTCTGAACTAGGGAGTGACATATATCTTGATGGTAAGATATTTGTGTTGTTTTCCAACTTGTTCATAATCTCTTGCTGCCTTTAATGTGGTATATTTGGATCATTTAGGATGAGGCTTTAGAAAATGTTTGAAAAAGATTATCTTCCTGTTTTAATCCTAACATATGACCTCAGAAATTTTGTTGCTTATTTTGGTGTTTATTTACCCATTTGACGACCCAGTTTGTTTATTTTTAGTTTGCTATATTCAACAAATATTATGTATTCTTTTATTGATTTCATGACCCTTGTTTCAGAATGGAAGACATATCTTGGTTGTTGTGGTATTAGGGAAAAAAGTACTAATAAGTGTTGCAAAAAAATACTTAAAAGTACTATTACATATTTCTTTTTTTTGGTATAGTGTTTCGGTATAGTGTTCCCCTTTGCCTCTTCTTTTGTCTTTCGTGTTCTTGTTCCCTATAACAAATAGAAGCTCATTTGGTGTGTTCTCTTAAAAATCTGAGCTTATTGCAATATAAAGTGCCATTCCATATAATTGAAGACTGTATTCAATGTTGAAGCTTTTTCTTCAAGGGCTTTAGATTTAGAAGAGAATTTACTTTTTTAGCTTTGTTTAAAAAAATCTTACTAAATCTTTGGTCAGACTGTGAAACAGCCATCTCTATCCAAGAAAACAATTGTGTAGGAAATAGTACTAATAGTCCTAATTTTATGTGAGAGAATTTCAGATTCATGGTGAATAGTAGTCAAAAAGACCAGGTACAAAGATCAGCACCCTTAATTTAATTTACTTAACATATAAAAAAGTATCTCTGGCTTCTTTGGACAACAATTAGCTGTTCCAACTGCTGCTGCTTTGGAGAAGAGACGTGCATCCTATGTGAATTTCTTGTTTTGGTAGCCTTTCTTCTACTACCGTTATAAGTAATACTCAGATCCATTGGAAGCATTGAAAATTTCATAAACAGTTGTAAATGTGCTGGTATTCTCATTTTAGTAGTTGCACAAGAAGCAAGTAAATTGTTAACAAATTCTAAGCAGTTCTGAGTACATTTCTACCCCTTCTCTACATGTTCTCTTTCAGGTATTGTATCTGTTGTTGATGCAAAGTATGGATTGCAGGTAACATTCTGGATTTTTTGTGTTGTAAAACTCTGACAAAACTTGAGCAACTCCTGCAATAGTGTTCATTCTGAATCTTAATTAAATTTAAGTTTTTTTATTTTAATTTTTATTTCCTTGTTTATTTGTTTGTCCCTAATGTTATTTTGTGAATGGAATGAAGAAGTACAGAGTTCCCAGGTTTTCATCAGGGCAACAGTGTCTCTACTAAGAATTGTTGGGTTGCTAGATGCTTGATTCCTTCTACGTCTGTCACTTCATTGAGATATTTCTCTTTTCAGTCGAACTGTGCCAATAGATAATTACTGCCAAAAGGGGGCAGTCCTGTGCTTTGTCAATTCTTGCTCTATCTGCACCAACATTTCTTAGTCGCTTGCAAGCTGTTTTGGGGAGTTTTAACCGTCGTGTTTTGTATGCACTTTTGCAAAGGAGTTAATGGAAGAGCTACGCAAATTATACATTTACAAAATTATAAATAAATACAAATTATACGTTTATAAAATTTATAAAAATATCATACAATTTATTATAAATCTTTAATAATCAGTAAGCTTGCATAAAGCTGATGTCCATTCACAGGAATAGGGAATTCAGATGCTTTCACTTTGTGTAAACTGCTGGCAAACTTGTTCTTCTGGTTGGAATGCTGGACCTCAGCAGAAGCTTGTGATTCAAAGAGTTGTGAAGACAGTACAAGTAATGACATTGGGATAGCAGGCAGCAATTTAAGGATGTCATGCTTCAGATACCCAAGCTATCACAAGGAGAGCTAACGAGTAATACCCTGTGGCTGACTAGTAATAAGCCTGTGACTAGTAATACCCCGTAGCTGTATCATGTGGAACCAGAGTGTGAGTGATACCATGCGCTGTTGCTCTCATGCGGTTGTTACTCAGCAGTATGAAATACCCATTTTTTAATCAAGGGCAAACAATTAGGCAACTTGAATTGATGGCTTTGGAAGCTTTACATCCAGGTCATTGACATTGTCGTTTTCAGTGCAACAAATCTGAGAACAACTATTTCAATAGCATCAGTAAAGATAGGTACAGGAGGTCAGGAGAGAGGTTTCTTTCCAGTCATGTTGTTATTGTCTGCTTAGATTGTGCGCAGTCAGAAAATAATATTAACAGAAGAGCCAAGAAAGCACGCCAACATAAAGCAATACTCTGTGCTTTTTTTAAAGATATATAATGTTAGATGTCTGAACATTCCTGAGAAGTTTACTATTTTTTTCTTTTTTTTTTAAACAAATATATATTTCCCATAAAGCTTTGGCAGAGAAGTAAAGCACAAAGTTGCAGGTGACGAGATACTGAACTCCTGCAGAAAAATCTGATGCTGCCTCTTCTGTTAATGCTCACTCTTTTCTGCCCAGTTTTTGCTTTGATAGACAGCAAAAAAATGGTGGTAGGCAAGCTCACCAAGGAGTAACTGTTCATTCAAACCTGTAACTAGGGTTGTGAATTGTTACTGTAAAAGTACTGTTTGGCATACCTTTCAAAAAAAAAAGAGTGTGTGTTTATGTATGTGAAACTAATACTCTAAGCTTAATCCAGTTTATGGTCAGCATTACACTCTTTAAACAAAATACTGTACTTGGCTTTTTTTGTAGCTTGTGTTCCACAGTTAATATATGTTCTTTTACATTTTAAAATTTGTAGTAAGTATGAAGACTATTTTGAAATGAATATTTAATTAGTCCTCCATCTCTTTAGCATTCTAGTGATAAAATTCATTAAAAGGAAAGGGTTTTTATAAAAAGAATGATAAAACCTTTTGTAATGCTGAAAGAATAAGCTTATTTTTTCACCACCATTTTTTAGAAGAATTCTAGATGCCATTTTTCTTAATTTATTCTTGAAATGTATATCTCAACTGTTTTGCCTTCCTTTGACTGCAAATTAAATTTATTTAATGTCATCAGAATATGCTTAATCAAATTGTTTTAATTTTTGTCCAGCATTTAACAGAGGAGAAGCCCGAAGGCCTCATCAATGAAGCATCTAGGTATAAAAACTGTTTATAGGTATCATTACCTGTTAGCTATTTCACTGAATGGAGGCCATTAGAAATGCCATCTCTAGAATGAGCTAGAGTTTCTTTTAGAAAACCTGACTTTGCTTTTAAAATTTAAAAAAAAAGAAAAAGTGGCATGGGGCAGAAAATGCATGAATGACTTCAGGCTCTGTTTGGTCTTTTTGTCAAGATTCACCTCATAATATGTTTTTAAAGAGGGATGGGATTTTATATAGCTGGAGGAGAAACCATCTGTATTGGAAAACAGTGAATTATATACAAGAATCTATCAGATGCACAAAATGTACATGTTGTAAAAATATTTTTTTTTTGCTAGATGCAGAGCTAAAATGATTATGCATAACAACAGAAGTCACTTTACAAAGAATATATGTGAAGGAAATAAGGCCTTTGCGGGTTCTACTTTGAAGACCTCTAATAAAACAGTAATAGACCTTTGTAGCTCAGAACATATGCTATTTGTGTCACAGTAGGAAAAGCAAAGAAAAGGAAGTGCAGTTGTAGCTATTTTCCTTCACATTCCATTTTGATTAATGTTTGTCTTTCTGCTGTACTGATGTTTTTTTTGTGCTGTGAGATATACTGTATTTTGCATTACAGAGAAATATTTGTTCAAGTTGTCTTTTTTTCCTCTTAATGCATAGGCAAGTTGCATTAGCTGATCTTATAATCATCAATAAAACAGATTTGGTTTCAGGGGAAGAACTGAATAAAATCAGAACATCAGTCAGGTATGGAACTCTTGGCATGACTGCAATGCTATATTTTCTGAAAAGTTATTTTTCTTTAATTACTTCCTTTCTGAAATACAAATCATTTAGCTTAATAGGGAAAAAAGAGACTACCCCCTTTTTAAAGGCATTCAAGATCTTCCATAGTCTTAACTCTTTGCAGATATAGGTAAGATTTGGTATTAGCTGTGGACCTCAAGTTTTCGTTTTGAGGCTGCGGTTCATATTTTGCTGAAGTACCATCAAAAAAAAAGGCAATAACTGAAAGTTCATTAGCAAATACAAAGTAATATGGAAAAGGTACCAAATAATTATGGCTTGGTTGTAAATCAACCAATGTCCTGAAACAAAATAGTGATCAGAAGCATTTCTCGTATTTTTATCGCAGTACTGAAATAATTAAAATGAAACATTGCAATTCGGAAATTCATTACTAGTAAACCTCATTAGAAGTTTGAATTGCAAATAATTAAAGTAAAAAGGCTTAGACCAAGCAGTAAATATTGTGAAGAAATCTTGCTTAGGCAAGCCCTATTCTCAGTGCTAATATTTTGCTGACAGAGCTTGTGACGTTCCCTATCTTTTACTTAAAATGTATAAAAAAGTCACAAAATTAAAGCTTGTTGGAGTATCTATTCAGTTGTTTAACAGGTTAAGAAGAGACTTGAAATTATTGTTGTAATATTTCTGAAGCTACTTTTCATTGCTTAAGTTGTTTAATCAAGACAAAAATTGTGGTATATCTAACTTTTCATTTTTCTGTTGAATTTCAGGTCAATAAATGGACTTGTCAAAATTATAGAAACACAAAGATCAAGGTATTGTATTGGCTAGTATTATTAGGTACCATTTCTTGATTCTTTTATGACTGATTTAAATATGCTGTCAGATTCACTCACTTAAAAGAAAACTATTGGATTAAAAATATTTAACTCAAGAGTTATTTTACTATGGTATACTTAGGATAAAGATAATTTTTAAAAAGATAAAAACTTTTTTGTGATGCATTTTTCTTGATTATTGTAAGTTATATTCTGGGGAGTAGATTGTCTACTTAAATATATAACCTAAAATTCACTATTTTGAGTTTTTGTGTAGCTCAGTTTACAGAGTTTATCATTGGGTCTTTTATTTGATATTGCTATGTAATCATAACTATTTCTCGCTTATAGGAAAAGCGAGTTTTTCAAAAGCTTAGGTCTTTATTCTTGGGTATTAGTTTTTCAAAACCTGCATTTTGTTCTGGCTTTATTAATAAATATGCCTTCTAATGATACAAATTGCATTTTTATAACACCAGCGATGGAATTGAGAGCTGTCACCAAGCTCCTGAAAAATGCTAGTATAGGTATAGTTTAATTGGCTTCAGTATATTTTAGAAATATAGCATATTTTTAAGGGAGCATCTTAGGTAGAAATTCAAAGTTACTCTCATACCTTGACAAGATCTTGTAAATACAGAGTAGAAAGGTTTGCAAGGTCGCGTGGATGAGAGATAATGATTAATCACATATTCAGTTAATCACATATGTAGCAATTCTGTTTGCTTTGTCAGCTTAATGATTTGTCCTCAATGACTACTAAAAAAAAAATTCTTACAAAATGACTTAGAAAGCTGTGCAAGAAAGTTGCAGAAGGAAAATGAATTGCATTGTTCCTACTGTTTTTCACTAAAGCCCTGACTTAGATTTCTTATTTAAAAAAGTCATACTCTCTGGAAATTCTGTGCATACAGGGCTTAAGTTACCAAGTTTTGTGCTATTTTGAGGGGATATATGTCAGTAAATACTGAGGGGGCAAAATAAATGCTAAGAATTTCGAGGTTCCTGTTCTTAATTAGAGACAGGATCAGTCCTCCTTCAGGCATCCAGTGTTTGATACTTTATTATCTTTCTTAGTAATGCATTCTTATATTTTATTCTGTGTGTGTTTTTTTAAAAGCTTTTATTTATGCTTAGATTTTACTGAATAATTCAAAACTGGTTTTCCTCATATGGCAAACAATTTAAACTTTCAATAAAATCTGATTTATTTTAGTAGTAGCGTTGGTATTTTTTTTCTACTATGGTCTGTCTACTCGTGCTTGATGGCATTAGAATGATAGGCAAGAAAAAAGTTTGTTTTTTTGCCTAAGCTTAAAAAAAACATTTTTACCTACTTGTTTAAAGATGCACAGTGTGTAAATGTAGTAAAAATATAAAACTTTTTTTTTTCTCTGCTTTATTAGAGTTGATCTCTCCAATGTGTTGGATCTGCATGCTTTTGACAGTTTGTCTGGAGTAAGGTATGGGAATAGTTTAACTGAGTATAAAATAATAAACAAATAGTTTATTTCTTACCAGAAGTAGCTGATTATCACCAGTGGTTGCGCTAAGTAGATACTTAAAGATCATGGATAAATTTACAGTAAAATTTCTGTTACAAATTCTGGTCACTTGTCTCATTCTACTTTAAAGTATTTGCTTGAAATTGGATATTATTTCCATTTGAAATGACTGGAACCTAAAGCTTTTTGGCTTTAAAAAATTAAAAGAATATACACAGGGTTGATTGGCTTTTTTTCTCTAAATACAAAGTTATATACTAGAGATACATAGTCAGGGCTTTAAGTTTGACTTTATTAGTGTTAGTCGAACAGAAGGGGACACTTGTCTAGTTATGTTAAAAATTCCAGGATTTCAGGTTTTTTTCCTCAGTTATGGCCTGAGATTTTCTGATGGACAAGCTAGCCAAGCTGATGCATTATGAAGCTGTACCACAGAAAGAAGGCAATGAGAGAGTGGCCATAGCAGCACCATGCTGGTCAGTGACAATTCACTGGTTTGAGTAGCTGTGTCATTAGAACATGTTCTGTGGAGTTTACTAGGAAGTGTTCTTTAGAAATCTGAGAAGATCCTTAGAGACCAGTTGAAAAAAATACCTTCATTTCCTTCCTTTATCTAGTCTTCTGTCTTGCAAATGCACTTACATCTGTGCTTCTGTGGATTTCCATAGGGTACAGCAGAGAAGTTGAAGTAGTGACTAGAGATGGTCGCTCACGATAAGGCCATAAAGTGATCTTACCTGTTTAGGTAACACTTCTTTAATAAACCTGAAGATTAACAACAACAAAAAACCTCTCTGAATTCCTTTACCTCATCAGGACCAAAACACTAAATTCCTTTAACGGTCTTGCAGAGCAGCCCAAGTGTGTCACACAGTGTAGCTGCGTGGTCAGTTTAAGTAGCCGAGCAAACACCAGATCATGATGAGGTGTCTGGCTGCAGCCGCTTAGTAGCTCTTCTGCTTCCCCTTGTGATCTGGTTTCTTAGACTTGCTTCCTTCTTTCTGTATGCAGCTTACTGGCAAGTGAATCTCAAGATCTGTTTTTTATATACTGAGTTAGCAATTGGTTTAGTTTCTCATTGAAGACATTTTGATGGTTCTTCTGTCCGTGAGTTTCTAAAGTCTTTAGAAAGTCATTTGAAGTGATGGGAATATGGTGACCAAACCATTAAGGAATCGCTATATCCTACACATCTAGATGAATATAGTTGTAATGTGAACAAATAGTTGTGTTTTTGTAGTGTAACAATAAAATTAAATGTTTATAAATAATGAGGGTCTTCAAAGTGAAATTCCATCAGTTTGACTAGGATATTTTAAACTGACATTCACACTCTAACACAAATCAAAACAATGTAATTAAAATACCTATTTTTAGATGAAAAGTGATTTAGTGGTTGAAGCATATTGTGAGTATATATGCTGCTTTGCTCCTGTAAGTTACTCTGTAATATGGTAGAGTATATTTTATGCATTTTTGCAATAAAGACATAATTGGTCCATCCTATTCAAATGTAAAATTTATTTTTCAGTTTGCAGGAAAAGCTTCATCATGTAAAGACAACACATGCACATCTAGATAAGGTAATTACAGAAGGCACTGCTTCATTTTTTTTAATAAAATTGCTCAAGATAATTGCTAATCATTTTACTTTTTTTTCTTTTTTCATCTTTTATAGAAGACTTCAGCTAAGGAATAATATAGATAAGATCTTTAAAAGGTCACAGTGATATATGTATATATGAGAGTGTATATATTTATGAGTATATATGTGTGTATATATACATATATATGTATATACATATATATGAGTATTCTTCTTCTGTAGGGGGATTTTAAATTGGATACAAGTCTTACTTCAAATACAGCTTATAGAGGTCAAATGTTGCAGGCAGTCACATCTTTAATTCATTCACGTGGACAGTGTAATTGAAATAGACAAGTAAAATGATGTGTTTAATATTTGCAGGACTGAGTTCTAAAATTACAGCCTATCTTTATTTTGTTAAATTAACAAATTATTTTGTTGCATTTGCATCCAAATGGTTTCTCTGTACAGAGGTACTAGAGTGATGTTATTCATCACTCTGCATTCTCTACAGCTGTAACAAAGCCTCACTAAAAAGTTAAGCATGTATAGATTTCCATTATTTGGGTGGTTACTGTTATTTTTACAAAGATTAATAGAAAATGTAACTCATAATAGTAGACTAGATTCTACCCTAAACTAGGTTGGTGGTGTCTTTCTTAAATACGTTTGCCATTCTGGCTTTTCTGGTGGGATGCTTTGCTTTCCTGTTTTATATCCATTCATTTCAGAGCTGTCAGAAACTGCTTGTAACAAATATGAAACCTTCTTTCACATCACTTCAGATTTCACCATTTTGTCTTGTTAAACACTTATTTCAGAACAGTCTGGCCTTATGTTGTATAAAAACTCCGTCCTCTACCTAAAATACATTCGTAAAAATACGAACACAAACTTAATGCTCTGTGAGTGTTCCACAGGCCACAGTCAAACAAAATGCCAGAATGGTTGAGGTTGGAAGGGATCTCTAGAGATCCCCTGCTCAAGCAGGGACACGTCCAGCATAAGGCACAAGGTTGCACCCAGACGGGTTTCATTTAAAAAAAAAAAATAAACAACAACAACAAAAAACACGTATTTTGTACTTCCTAACTTATGTGGCTATTCTCTTCCCTTCTACAACATTTTCTGTACCTCACCACACTTCCACTCCCTTTCCCCTGCAATCCCTGCAGGATTTTCTGTGCTAATAATGATTGGTTCTGAATTGCAGGCTAGTGGCTACTTTGGAATAAAATGGCTCTTTGGACTTTTTTGTTTTGGAATCTATTGCTAGATAGTCTACTTACAAAAAGTTTTTTAGTAATCAGAAATTACTGATGAAAAGTGTTGAGTATTTTTTATCCAATTGTGCTGAAGAGCTGAAATGATGATAAAAATACCAGAAGCCTGAGAAAGTAGTATTCTTAGACATATTTGAACCATAGGTCTCACTACCCGTAAAATATTTTAGACTTTGTTTGAGATCGAGTCGACTGCAGCACAGAACTGCACTGTGTAAGCTCACAGCATTAGAACATTCAAAGTATTGTGGACATTGAAAGAGAACCAAAATATCCAGTATACTTTATCAAATCAAAGCAGTACAGAAATGAGGTATTTTTTTCTAATCTGATTAAGGATCATGTAGTATACAGTTGCTTTTTCTGGGACCAAATTATGAAGAGTAACTTTTAAAATAACTGTGTTGAGTTATTTATTCAGTAATAACAAGTGGATCTTTCTGTTTCCAGGGTATAATTACAGTAACATTTGAAGTTCTAGGAAACATAGTAGAAGAAAATTTAAATCTCTTTATTCAGGTAAGTGTTATCGTCAATTCAATAATAATTTTGCATTTTATAGAAAATTATCCCATGCTATTGCTTGTGAAAATCTTTTTCTCCTCTTCATAGAATCTTCTGTGGGAGAAGAATCTGAAGGACAAGACTGGATGTACCATGGATGTCATAAGACTGAAAGTTAGTTCAAAAATGACCTATTTCATTTTGTGCTTTCCCTCTTCACACCTAAAAACTGCTGTGTACCCTCTAGTGACCGGCTTGTGAGAGGCACTGCTGGTTCCTGTAGCCCAGTGGGCAAAAGGGAGAACAGCCATCAGTCAGTGCTCCTTCTAGGAGACAGTCTTGTCTGGTGGTTGGGGGAAGAAATTGAAATAGCCAGTAAAAGCACAAATACTGGTTGTATTGTGAACTGAGAGGAAGGGAGTACAGTTGTTAAATTCTACCAAACATGACAGGTAGAATCAGTGATTAGGAAGTGATTACAGTTAAGCAAGATAGAAAACTATATAGCACTAAAGACATGGAAAAAAAGCTGCTTTTCAAAGAAAACTTGTTAGCCATGTGTTTTGCCCATTATGGACTAAATTGTGACAATAGTTCTTCTCATCACTGGAGGGAGTAAGAATTTTCTAAATCGGTCTCTTTTTTGCCTTCGTTCTTCTGAAGGCACTTCTTGACACTCATGTCAAGTAAATGGCTCCTCATATAGGAATGTAACCATTAGATGCTGCCTGGAATTACAATTTTTGAACACTGTGCAAAAAAAAAATTCAGTGTAAGATAAAAAGACTACATCATAATACTTGCTGTAGTCTACACTTAAAACTTCTTAAAAACTATCAGACCATATTTTTTAATCCATAATCCATAAAGATTCATAATCAGATCCTTAAGTAAATGGATTTGTCTTCTCAGAACACCTGAGACATTTTTCCATTGTGTGCATTTGATATTAGTGATAATTTTTTTATGGTATGTCCATTTTCTGTATACCAGTCAGCTAAGGAAATGGTTGAGAATTGTGAACTGGGTGAGAATTTTATATGGTGTAAGAAACACAAACAAATATGCTGTGGTTTGTTCTTCAAGAATACTGTGCTTCATGAATAGCAAAATAATCATTTGTACTTCATTAGAAGAAAGGTTGTCTCAGTCTTTAGCAACAAAAATAAAGGAATTTCTTCCCCTTTCTTTCAAGATAGAAGTAAACTGCCACTGATGCATGATCAGTAGTTAAAACAGTACTGCCATGCACAAATACATTTTTTTTGTATTGAGCACTAGAATTAAAGTAATTCTTTAACAGATTTGAGGTCTGTAATGGACTCTGTGCTCAGTCACATTAAACAAACACCCCTAGGCAAGTGAATCGCAGGTTATTATTGAATGGATTCCAGAGTTGGCTCCTTTTGTATCTTACCTGACATCTCCACCACCATCCTATTGATGGAGATAATTGCTTGAATTCCAGTGATACGTCAAATACAGACCTTCTTTGCATGGAAGATTTTTAACTTTGTATTCTTTTCTTTAGGGGAGTATAAGAGATGTTTTACAGAATGCGTTCCACTAGAATAATTTATAAAGTTTTACATGAAGTGATGAAAGCTATTTTAACACAACTGCATGTGGGTCAGTGGGTGCAGTTTGACAATAATCCTTTTATTCTGTTGCTAGTCACAAATATTTGTTCTGGCTCTGATACTTAGAGGTTTTGTCCAGGAATAATAAAAACTGTAAGCATGAGAACTTAAATCAGGATAATCTGAAATCAGTCATTTTTGCTTGGTTGACATCATTTTTCATAGGCAACCATTCTCTCAGATGCATACGTCATGTTTTAGTTGGGAGTGTCACAGGAGTAGTAAATGGCACTTTAATCTCCTCAGACATGCTGTACTATGTGTCGTCCCAGTGAGGAACTGAAGACAGAATCAGGGACAGAACAGTAACCAGTTTTTAAAATAGAGTAAGGACATGTGAGAATGTATGTAAGGAGCCATAGTGGTCATACTCCATTTCTCTTTTGATTAACTGATTTATAGTCACCATCATTTTTTTCTTGCTTGCCTGTTCCATGTTTTTTTTTTCCTCATTACATATTTCATTTTTAAAGGTTTGTTTATATATGCTAACAATTATTTTTCTGATAAGGGACTGGTATCTATTCAAGGCAAATCTCATCAGGTGATAGTTCAAGGTGTCCATGAACTCTATGATGTGGAAGAGACTTCAGTAGTCTGGAAAGATGATGAAAAGAGAACAAATAGATTGGTTCTAATAGGTAAGAGGAAATCACATATTTCATAATTTCACTTTAAGTAGATGGTTTTGTTGTCAGGAAATCCTGGTATGTCCGGTGGAAAACGACCAGCCTAAAATAGCCAGACTAAAAGCAGTGAATATATGAATATATATTTACTTCTGTCCAAAGTTTATGTCAGGACTTCCTGAGATCTTACATTACAGCTGATAGAAATATACACTGTAAGAAAAGTAACTGTAATAAAGGTGCTTATAGCTATTAAAACACATAAAACCTCATTTGTTTCTGAAAAGCTTATAATAATAAGGCTGACAGTTTTTATTTCCTGGTTGTTACTCTCTGCTTTGGGTTGACTGCAAGTGTTCTTAATGACAAAAACAACCAAAAAAAAGTTTTTCCTTGTTTCCCTTGCTCATATAGCTAGAAATTTGTTACAGCTGAAAAATGCGAAGTTACCTGTTATCTACAGGATAGTATTCATAAAGCTGTGTTTTCACTCTGTGGTATAACAGACCATTTCTGCAATCAGAATACTTGCAGGTTTCTACTTGCCTGCATTTTTGTAACACAATAAAATATAACAAGCCTATTTTTTTTTCTCTTTACAGGCAGAAACTTGGATAAAGACATCCTCAAAGAAGTATTCATAGCCACTGTTACAGGGAAGCAGGGAAATAGTTGACATTATACTGCAAGGAAGATGGAAGGTCTTAACACTGCAAGTTTTCTTGTTAGTGCCACGTGCTCTAGGTGACCCTGCGTGTGGAGGGGTTTGCACTAGATGATCCCTACAGGCCCCTTCCAACCTTAAGCATTCTATGACTCTATGACTGTAATGATGAAAAGGACTGAATGACGTGCAGTACAGTAGCTTGTGCAGGTTACACAACAGTTAAACTCTTAAGTCTTCTTAAAAGTTCCAGCTCACCTTCTGTTTATAGATCAGCTTTTACAGTCTGGAATCACAGTGAATCCTGCCATTTTGGATTTAGCTCTCCAGAAAAAAACATAAATAAAAGACTTTTTTTTATACTGTATGTGGAAAGAGGCCACAAAGTATTACAGAAGAAATATGGGTTAAAGACAATTTAAAATCTAGTACTTTCTCCTGCTCACCCTTTTTTACGACTGGAAATCAACTACGGGTGATTATTGCCAGTAATACAATCATAGCATAATGTATTTAATGCTCTCTATTAAACTCTCTTAAAATCTCTTTTCACTTGCTTTATGATTTGTGAACATCCATCCCAGGAAACTCTAAATGGGAGCACATGCATGAAGCTTAGATGGAAAAAAAAAAAAGATAATTTTAGGAGAGGTATCTGATAATCTGAAGAGTGGAGTCTTATGCTACAGTGCTTCAGCAATGACTGCTGGTATGTCTGAATAAATTCGAGTTTGTTTTCAAGATCTTGGTATATCATCTGTCATAAGTGTTGGATTCATTGCATCAAACCATTTCATCAAATTTGCATCAAACCATAATCATAACCCATTTGCATCAAACCATAATCATAAAATGGAGACCATTTTATGATTACTGGTGTTAAATTCTTTCTGCTCATACTAGGAAAAATAGTTTAAAGAAACAACTGGAATTTGTTTCTAGAGGTGAGGAAGAAGATACTGTTAATCTCACTGCCAGGGCTGGGCGCTCTTCTGATTAGTGTGTGAGATAGTAAGTTACATATGTTCAAAAAGATAGAAGTTTTCTTCTCCCTGTGGATAGAAGTTTATGGGTGCTTTTCCTACAAACCAAAGCAAGGTAAGAAGAACAATCTCCTTACCTTATTGCTTACAGTAGAGCAATGGTGTCACCAGAGTTAAATGGGTGTTATTTGTTGATGCGGCAAGTTTGTCAGTTTACCTCACTTCAGTTACATATCAGTTAATTTGGAGAGCCAGTATGTGTTCCCACAAATTAAGTATTTGCAGTTGCATAAGTCACACGTAGTCTGTTAAGAAAATTTATCAAGTGATTGTCATTGTTTTGAAGACCAAGTTACAAACAGACAGTGTTAGTGAAACACTTGTGTTTATTTCTGGTGATAAATTTTCATAGACAAAGCAATGAGATACTTCGTATGATGTGCCTAATGTAATTAAAGATCTTCTATGCCTTCAGAAACATTAATCTCTGGAGTGCCCAATGGATTATTCATTTTCCATTTGTCAGTGATCTTCAGAGATTTAACTTTAACTTGAAGCATGTGTCATAAGGAGACAAACCATGATGCATTATTCATTTGCTGTCATATTTAAATCATAGCATCATAGAATGCTTAAGTTTGGAAGGGACCTCTAGAGGTTATCTAGTCCAAGGTGTAGGTTTTTTAACTTTTCTCAACCACATATTCCAAAAATCCCATTACAGATTGCCCATGGACTGTAATGAAACTGTAAGTTTCACCAGCTCACAGACTGAAGAGTGAATTACACCTTTTATCTGATTGTAAGTGTCAGCGTGTGCAAAGCAGAAGCAGTAGAAGTTATTAACTACCCATGAACTGCTTTTCCACACAGCTCTATTTCCTGTCATCGTCAGATTCGGTTTGATGGGAACTACTGTAGCTGTGCAAGCTTCTTGTGAGCAGAAGATCTAATTCCTGCTTGCGCTTCAAGACAAAGGTGCTAGCTGTTGATAGCGATGCTACCTCTTCTGCCCCATCTCTGCCTTTCTCCATATGCACCCCGGCAGCTAGGAGTCTAGGGCTTTTCATGGCACATCTTGCTGTTATTCCATAGCTGTTGTTGGCATGTGTAGCTTTTCCCTTTTCCCTGTAAATCGTTCAGTTTCCTCCCGTGTGCCTGCAGAGATCTGCTAGCACAGAGAGCGCCTTCCCAGCGAGAGGGCCGTCCCTATGCTGGTGCTTGCTGGTGGTCAGCTTGCTGTGGGGCCATGTCCTGCTGCGCTCTGTTCGCCCGAGCAGCATTGGGAACACAGCCAAGGGCTTGCTCTTATTCTTACCTTGGACGGGGACTGATGTTTTCTTATGTCTATATTGAAGAGACTTCATTTGGTCACTTTTTTGCTTGTACCACACCACAACAGCGCGTGTGACAGAGGCTCTGAGGATATGAGATTGCTGTGGGAAGAGGGTTTCCTGTCCTGACCTCCTGGGTGCTGGTCCATCCTGTACTGGCCTTTGAGCCCTGCTCGGGATGAGGGCAACCTGAAGTGGTCACTCTCCCTGCCCACAGGACATCCTCGCCACGCTTGTTTCTTCAGGCCCATCTGAAAATTTAGTTTGAAGCCCAGTTAACTCCACAGGAGACAAAACTTTTCACAGTTGTCCACAGGCAGGTATCCAGTGCTTGCTTCATTTTTGTTTTGAGAGCAACTGTTTGCAACGTTATGTTCTCCTCCCAGGTCATCTGAATCATCCTGTGAGCAATTCAACACTGTTGTCTTCTCACTTCTCCCTAAGGCAGCTCTCATTTCACTCTCTGTCCTTTCCTTTGGCCCTTGTTCCAGACAGGATAGCCACAAAAAATGTAGCATAATGTACAATGTGGACACACTCTCAGTAAATGTAATAAAACCTGAATTCAAAAACTTTCATAATACCATCTTCTCAGCTGTGTTACAAAGGTGTTCTTTGACAACAGAAGTGTGAAACAAATTTGGTTGCATTCATTTTCTTGGCTCTCCTAAGTGTTCATTTTTCCTTTCTATATTTTCTTAAGAAATTTTTTCTCAAGAAAATCTCATTTCTGTGTGATAAGAAAACTTTATCCTTTCTTTTGTAGCATATGAGTAGCAAGGTCATGGCTCCCAGTTGCCAAAGGCTGTGGCCACCTCACAATTAACAACCTTCAGGAACTTCTGAATTAAATTTAAATTCATGTGTTTTGTTTTGCTTCCTTGTAAAAGATCCATGCCTTAAAAGGAAGTAAAGGAAGAGAAATTAAAATAATAAATTACAGAGTTTCAGAAGTTATGGTGTGCAGACAAGAACAACCAGAAAGCCCTGAAGCTCAGAGAAAGTTGTGACCACAAAGCAGCATGACACTTAGGCTGAAGGAGAAAAGAGGACTTACAGCCCAAAATGTGACTTTTATTTAAAGATCAGTTTTGCTGTTGTCTCCAAAGGGAGCAGGAGTTGTTTGATACAGGTACTTGCCCTAGCTGCTGGCTTAGTGCAGGACTCTGATCTTTTTCCCTTTTAGGAGAATCCCACTACCTGGAGGAAAGACAACGCTCCAGAAAACCGGTATTTGCTGCCATCTAGCGATAAGCAGATGTCGGACCCAGGCACTGCAACCACTGCACTTGTCAGGGGGTTCTCCTTGGAAGCTCTATATTGATTTCCACTTTTATGCTCTTTCCTTGGTTGTAAAGGCAAGGAATTATGAGGAACGAAAAGATTCTGTCCTTTTACCGATAGTTCTAATATCAGAGAGATTTTGTTTCCTACTAAAAGTTTTCCACTTTTTCTAAAAGAACTGTGACTTTTTTTTTTTTTTCCCTGACAATTCAGTGGCAATGCTGCAGGAGGGAATCATATCAGGGTGTCTGAGAAGGCAATCTTTAATTGTAGAGAGACCTTTAGGAAGAGTAACTTTAATTGTGTAATTCAAACACTTTATAACCTATTTAAAAAACAGTAAATCACGTTTGTAGGATTTTCAAAAGACTTGAAAACCACTATTTTCTCAGTATATTTCAGAAGAGTATAATTAAAATCTCTATATATGTATATATGTCATATATCAGTTAGATGTATATAAATAATATATATGTATATAAATGAGAAAGTGTATAGCCAAAGCTTATATCATACTGGGAAAAGGGTAAGGCTTTTAAAACATAAAACATAAACATTAGGATGTTTTCAAGCTGCTGCAGGGAGGCAGTGGCAAATAATGCCTTTAGATTTAGGTCTGGGATTCCGTGTTCTGCAAAAAGTTTCATCAAAAAGTAAAGAATGCATACAGAATTCCTGGAAGAGCATAGGGTGGAAGCAAAATGACGTTATGCCATAACATAACACTGATTAAGAAATATTGCTAAGGAAAGAATTCACTTGTGAATTTGTCTAAGTCTCCTTTTAATGATCTGGGTTGTTGCAAAAACAGAATAGCAATTTATCTAAATATTTACTTATTTCTAAATACGTATTTATGCTAAAAAATAGAAAGTCTGTAAATTCCAGGAAATAACCATTTTGGGAAGGCATTTGCTGATTAACAGATTAAGGTAAGCTATTGGACAGGTGGGAATGGGAAAGAAGCTGGGAATGGCACCAAAGCCACAATTTGAAGTAAAACCTGAGAGGCAAGGGCGAGGAAGAGCATGTCCAGCCAGCACCCTCACTGCAAGGTGTGTGTAAAAACAGCTCCCAGGCTCTTGTGCAGGTTTAGCTTTCTGGGAAAAAGAAGTGGAAATTCTAGATTGAAGAAATAAAGCAACGTATTAGTTTCTAAAAAACACAGTGGTTTAAATAAAACAAACTTCTTGCCTGAACCAGTTCCATGGTGATGTCTGTTTTTGCAGCAGTAGTCTCTGAAGAGCTCCATCTGGATATGGGCTGTTGGTGTAAAATGAATTTATATGGCAGGAATTTAAGGAATTACTCCCGCAGCTACTACCAAAGTCACTTCTATCTCCCTACCTACCATTTTAGCTGAAATTTCCTAGTAGGCTACACTATGGCATGAAGAAGCTCACGGATCCTTGCACACAACCCAGTTGTTGATGCATTAACTTGAATTGTTCAGACCCCA